TTAAATTATGATGTATCAGTGATACTTTGTATTTGTATCAGCTCAAAGATCATCGAACTTTAAGACTCCATGCAACCTCTTAAATGTTAAAAAGAATTGCTGTTGTCTCCCAGCTATAGCTTCCAAATAAAAATAGGAACTTAAGATAGCAAAAGGGCTCCAGCTAATTAACAAAAACTTGATCAAAGTCATCAAGTTAATCATAACTCTTAATTAAAATTTGTCCTGCTAAACCACAATAACCGCCTAGTAAGTGAGAGTTTCTTGACAAAGAGCGCAGAACTTAGAGTGTTCTGTCTGCGCACATTCTTTTTTAGGTCTCATAGTTGTTTTGATTTCCTGAATTGATCATTGTACAAAGTCTTCTGGTTGATATAGCAAAGCTATTAATATGAAACATACTTGCATTTGAGCTAAATTAGACTTCATTTGCAGCTCCATCCAAAAATATCTCTGCAAAAATATGATCTACCTCTTAAAAAATCAAGGAAAGTGGAACAATATTAGGGCTAAATGAAAAAAAAAATGTTCTTATAGCCGAAAATTGCAGCTTTCCTATAAAATTAATCAGACATGGCGCCTGCAATATATCGCGAAAACTCATCACCTCCAGTCTTTGTATTTCTGAAATTTTCCCCAAAAGTAGAGTTTTATAGCTCCAATTAGAAATCGCACGTCATCCCTGTGTTTTCCTGTAATTCTTCTTCTTCCAACTTACATATTCTAGCGTCTTCCCGCTAAACTTCGAAGGCAATTTGCTGAATTTGAGTCATTGTTGGATCCATCGAGGAATCATCGGCCTTACCGAGCTCTTGTAGCTAAGGTAAAATTTTCACCTCTTCTTTTGTAGCACTCACTTAGGTTTGTTACTTCCCTAACTGACTTTCTGTAGGTACAGCTGCTCTATATTACTATTGTTTTTTTTTTTTGCAGATGTCGCCTCCACTGATTCCATTCGTTCCGCTGCTACTGAAGGATCTAACGTTCATCCATGAAGGCAACAAAACCTACTACAACGGTCTTGTAAATTTTGAAAAAATGGTCCGTTTATTTCATTAATCGTTTCCTCTGATGTTTTCAATTTTATTACTTTCAGCATATGATCGCAAATATTCTAAGGAGTTTCCGACAGTGCAAGTCAAGATACTCAGGTTTGGTTTGATTGCGTTTCCTACGCAGTATTTTCGCTTGATACTTCTTGCCTATTGTAGTGCCACAAATGGAACAGAAAAAAATCTACGAGACGCAAAATTTCATTCGAAACTTCCGTGTTGTGGACAATCAGCGACGACTAATGGAGCTATCCTACCAGATAGAGCCTCGAAGAAGAAGGAACTAACTTTTAAGGCAAAATTCTTAACCAGCCTCAGCAGGACCTCCTTGAACCTTCTTTTGAAGGACCCGAAGAACGTCGGGTGGCAAAAGGCTACTTACGCTAAGCAAAGCTTGACCAAAAGCGCTCATTTCAGCGCTACAGAATCACTGAAATCTATGCGACTACTGTAGCTCTATGGTACTGTAGCTAATAGCACGCACACCTAAACGCGTCGCGCTCACTTTCACACAATCATTTGTCACTTTCGCAGTACCAATGTCAGTCCTTGAATAAACACACATACATGATATCAGTTTTGATGTATCGAGAACTGAAGTTCCATTAAACTTTCCTAGGATTATTCAAATTGTACTAGTTAGATGGGTAAGTGATGTAGAAATGTAGCCATAGAAATTTTTTTCTTTTCCTTTTTTGTTTTGTTGTCCTTTCTGTATCCATAATATCCATTTGATGCTCACTTCAGCTCATTTTTGTGTGCAGATTTTGCTTTCGCACGTTGATACCCATGTTTGCTTCCATTCAACCATTTATGATGGTTTTCTAATCATGCCGGTGCTTTCTGACTTCTATTCTTGATTATATACTAAATAAATTTTTATGATACGAGAAGTTCAAGAACAGCCATAAGGACGGAAATGAGGGTAATGAGGGGAGCTTATGAGCCATGTTTCGAATTAGGCGCTTTGGAAGTAGTACAATTTACACTTCAAAAAGTTTAATGTTGTATAAGGAAAGTAGTAACGGCACACAGCGAGGAATGGCGAAGAATTGGTTATGATGACTTTAGTAGAAATGAAAGGACACCTGGGACCGGATTCATCATTGAATTTACCTAGGTTAAATGCGGCCACACCCCTATCTTGGCGGTGTACCGAGATTCACCATTTTTGATACCACTACCTTGACCACAAACGAGAGGGTATGTACCTGTCGACGCAAGGTTTCGCAGATACCTTGCCCTTTGACAACTTGACCCAGAAGTGATGGGAATGGCGCATGCTGAGAACATTGCATGACGTAACTGCAGTGCTTGTCCCGTTAGCTCATATATGAAATTGAACATAGATTGCTCCCGCAGAATGGCGCTTTGGGCTGCAATGGATATACTGAAATTGAGCAAAGTCAATCTGCTCAAAGGCTGTGGTCTTGTTCCCTCCCATTTTACCTACTTTCAAGTAAAAACTAAAGAATAATTTTTCTTATTTATGTTGATGTGACAGATGAGAAGCTCAATTTATGA